GCGTTGGGCCGAACAGTTTGAAGTCAATATAAACAACCTAAATAATCATTTCTTTTTCGGGCATTTGCGCGTCTTTCTCCCTGAGCCGTCTCCTTGGATCCGCCCGAAAGAGCAGAATGCAACTGCGATATAAGACTGTTGAAATTGCATAAGGCTGCTGGTGCATGCAGAATTCCCCCAGCTCTACAAATTCGGGGGCCTACGGTAATAGATGATTTAGAGCACTTGCTAGTGAAACTTCGGGAGCAGGAGACTGTACCGACAGATTGGAGCCGATTCGCCATTGTCCTAATTTTTAATACAGGCGCCCGGACGTCGCGGATTTTTGGATCAGCGTGTGCTGGATACTACTTTTGCTTCAGATTACTGTGTTAACAGCGTTTTATCTGTGTGAATTGTTCACCAATATTCTTCCTTTGGCGTTTTCCCCAAGCGGTGCAAATTTGGCGACTATTCTTTGGCCACTTTCGGAAATCTCGTTGGTTTGCTGTACTGCCACCTCTGTCCGCCATCTTGGATTTGCTCTAGCTTGTGATGCCGTCTCAAGCTACTTGTGGTTCGTGTTCGAAAGTTGTGGGAAATAAGGCTCATGCACTTCGGTGCTTCGGCTGTGATGTTTTGTTCCATATTTCGTGCATTGGCTTATCCGTTGACGTGTTTCGAAAATCGCTTGACATCCGACATCGTTTTTTCAAGTTCTATGTGATAAATGTCGCGGTGCAAGAGATCAGAATACGCAGAGACCGCAAACAACTGCGGGAAAATCTCTCTTTCAGATAGAAACAAACCGTTCACCACGTGGGATCAAACGCCCTCGTGAAAGTACCTCTGTCACCTCGCCTTCTATTGTCACTCCGCGATCTGCACCACCACCAGCGTCTTCGACCGCGGCCGAGCCCCAGGTTCAATGTTCCCCACCGATGGAAGACTCAGACTCGGAAGCTACGAAATGCCGCTTCACTGATCGGTCCGTGAATTTCTCAGAGGCTGTCTGTGAACTTCTGAACACCGAGGATCCATGGACCACTCAAAAGCGCAAGGGCCCACGTAATCGAGTTCAGACGTCACCTGCTGATAAACAACAACCCAATCAGTTAAGCGCCTCTAGTTCTGCTCCCACAGGTTCATCACTGATTTCGTCTGAGGCGTCATAATCTCATGGTCTTCCACGTACCAGAGTCAAAAGATGAAAACCCTCAGATACGTTATGATCACGATGTTGAGTTCCTCCAGGGGCTCATCGATAGACTCTTGGATGTGGGCGAAGACAGTGTGACGATTAAACAAGTAATCCGACTTGGCCAGAAAACTAACCAGTCATGTCGACCTCTGAGAATCACCTTTGCAAATCCCAATATGCCGCAGCTCATACTGTCTCGTCTGTCAAGGCTGAAAGGCATAAAAGTTCACATCCGCCGAGACTTGGAACCCGAAGACAGGGATCGTTTGAAGACTGCAGTCATTGAGCTCAAACGCCGTACAGAGGAAGGTGAGACTGACTTACAAATTGTAAATTTTCGGGTGATCAAGAAGGGTGTACGAACCCGTATCAACCGGTTGCTCAACCTCCAGGCACGTCCCGCAGTACCTCCCAGGACCTCCGTGTGGCATTCGCCAACGTGTGCAGGCTAATGAACAAACGTGACGAACTGTGCCGCTTCGCTGTCTCGGAGCGGCCGGACGTTTTAGGACATGCAGAAACTTGGCTGAAACTTGGCTGAACTCCGACGTCATACCCCAAGAAGTCGTGTTGTCAGGATACTCTTGTTTCCGATGCGACCGAAAATCAAAGGCTCACGGTGGTGTTCTGTTGTACAAAATATCGTCACTATCTTGCAAACTTCTCAGCACCTATCGGAGCGAGGATAGTTTATGCGAGCAATTGTGGTGCACTATGCACTTCAGGCGCGCAGAACTAATAGTGGGGTTATCTACCGGAGCCCCTTAAACCGTTGCTGCGATTGGCTACCACATGCACAAAACCACATGAGCCGCCCACAGTTCTTACTGATGGGAGATCTAAATTTACCTGAGATATTTTGGCCTGAGGTTCGACTTCTTCCCGATCATGGCAACGTTCAGGCAAAATTCGCTAAAATGACTATTGAAATCGGGGCAACGCAACATGTCACCCAACCGACGCGCGTAACTCCGCACTCGGCATCTTGTCTGGACCTAATGTTTACGAGCTGCGAGCAGAAGCTGAACGAGAACAGAGTCATCGGACCTCTGGCGAACAGTGACCACTGTTCCGTTGTGGCAAGCTTAGAACTGTCGTTACCATATTATAATCAACGGAAGCCGATATTCAACTATTGGAAGACGGACTTCAACGGGCTCGTCCAAGCTGCAAGTCAGACTGATTGGACACTACCATAGGATGCGTTACTTGAGGCCTGTTGGTCATTAATGAAGGGGAAGCTTAACTCGCTCTGTACTCGGTTCGTTCCCCTTAAGTATTCAAAAATCGGACCTGTCAAACCGCATTGGTTTGATACGGAATATAGACAGTTAGCGCGACGACGTCGCAAACTTTGGGATAGATACATCAGCTCGGGTTGTGATGAAGATTACACGGTGTACAAGAAACAGCGTAACTTATGTAACGCCGCAAATATCAAGAAACGCCGGCAGTTCGAAGAGGAGCTAGCATCCTCGGCCACAACTGCACCCAAAAGAATATTTGCCTACTTGAAACGTCAACTGAAACCTGGGGGTGACCTACCGGTCTTAGAGAGCTTAGACGGAAAGACGCTCATTTCAAGCGCGGAGCGCGCGGACGCCTTGGCTACGCACTTCCTCACTGTATTTTCCAGTAAACCGGCGGCGGTTTCAGTACCGGCACAGGTTGCGCCAGTCTTGCTCAACAGCCTACAATGTGATGCAGTCGAAGTGTACCAGCTACTCGTCAACCTCGATGGTGCAAAGCCCCCAGACCAGACGGACTTCACCCACTAATACTCAAGTCCCTATCGATTATCATCTCACCAGCAGTGACAAACCTTTTCAATAAAGCAATCTCTGAAGGATGTATCCCGAACGATTGGAAATGCTCAATAGTGAGACCGCTTCCCAAGGGTGGTGATCCGAATAAACTAGATAACTATAGACCGATCTATTTGACTTCGGTATTATTCAAACTGCTCGAGAAGGTTGTGAAAAAGTGTTTACTATCGTTCTTCGAATCGATGGACATATTGACGCCAGCGCAAGACGGTTTTACGAAAGGACAATCCTGTATCACCAACTTGATGTGCGCAAACCACCAGTAGGTACGAGCCCTCAACGAACGGAAGGATGTTGACGTGGTGTACATCGACTTTAGTAAGGCGTTTGACAGAGTGAACCACGAGGCACTGCTTGGTAAACTGAGGACATACGGAATCGGTGGCACGTTACTTCAGTGGTTACACGAGTTTATTGTGGGACGAAAGTTTAGAGTACAGGTCAATGACTACCTGACAGACTGGTTCCCATCGACTAATGGCGTGCCTCAAGGAACTATACTTGGGCCAGTATTATTTCTTATTCATATCAACGATCTTCCGCAGCAGCTCCAGTCACCATGTGCCCTGTTTGCAGATGATTTGAAAATCTGGAGGATCATTGAGAACCAGGACGACTGCGCTCGCCTCCAGCATGACTTAGAGCGATTGTCAACGTGGTCCACTGAAATGCAACTCCCTCTTAACGCATGCAAGTCGGAGTTCATCAGTATCACCAGACGTCCAGTCACTCGATCATACACCTTGGACGGCCAGTTGCTCCATCCCAACACATCTGTCAGAGACTTAGGAGTTCTCTCACGACATGATATGAGATCAATAGAAAATACAGGGAAATTGTACCGTGCGGGACTTTGCATGCCCTGGGCATTAAAGCGCAGTTTCGCTAAGTGGTCCAAAGAAACCGTCCCTCGTCTATTCACCTCCGTCCAGTGGCGAAGCTGTACTCTATCGGGCGCGTCCCCAAATTGCGGATCTGAAACTGTCTTTCGTGTGGTGGCAACTGTGAGTGTGCCTCAGTTGCGCTGCAAGCTAGATGAATAAACACTCGCGCACAACCAGTGGTAGTGTCTCAGAGAGTGGTGAGTTCTAAGCTGGTCACCTAGTTGTTCAGTAAATATCACTACAGCTTGTACGGTGACGTATCAAACACAACATGACCGGTCAAGGAATCATTGACCAATTCCTTCCTTAATCAGAGGTTAGTACCTAGCGGAGAGCTGATGAACAATCTCGTTGATCATCGGCTTCTGTGTCGATTGCCAACGAGCAACAACAAGGCGTATGAACCAAATGGCTGTCGATGGTTTTCGTATTCAGCGGTTGCTTCCACGTTTCCTATAACGTTTTCTGATTTCCAGGCCATGAATGTTAACTCTACACTTCAAAAGTCAACGGAACTGCGATATTATCCCCACATGGGAACACTACTCTTGCAGCCAATCAAAGTCAGTCTAGCCCATTGTGTACATCGGTGCACAGTCAATCAGGACGAACCGTAGGTGATATCGTCGCTGATGGGTATGAAGGCTGGCACAGTTACTGGTTAAGCCCGTTCCTGGATTTACTTGGTACCATATGTTGCGACCGAGTTACAGTTAACACTGCTATGGTGATGTCACCTCGATTGCGGATGAAACGTCTGTAACCAAATTGCTAAGTTCATCGAACGAATAAACGACTAATACGACGACGACAGCATCAAAAAATGCGGTGGATAGTGAAAGTATGTGCAGTGTTTTGTTTAGGCGTAGTCAGACGTATCACATGCTCACCTACAGTCTGGTCTGTCCCGTCTTAAATCTCTCTCTTTGAATAGGCCTAGTTAGGACTGTGCTGTTTTAGACTTACATAACCTCACCAAAAAGCTAGGTGGCCGATGTTTAGTAGGCTCAACTTGACCAAACCACCAAGTTTGAGTTGAAAAAGCCTATCGTGGGTAGTCGATTGCAACCCGATTTATCTTCATTGCAAAGTAAATGAACTCCTGTTTACTTTAATTAGATTTTCCGCCTCCATCTGCGCATGCAGGCGCGTCTCAGTGGGCTGCAAGTGGTTCATAATCTCTTGCAAATCCGGCAGCTTCCCGAACGAAACTTCAGGTATCCATACCGCTGTCGTTGGAAAGTTGACCCAAGTGGGCCGGCGACCGCGGGCCTACCGGTGTGGGGAAAACAGATGGGAGAGTAATTCATGTGTGAGAATTATTAACAAATCAAGCTACCATGAGCGGTTTTCCACTTTCATCTGTTGATTCTCACCAATTCATTGCCCTCTAACAAACAGTATATACTTAAAGAAGGCTCAAGATAGCATCTTTCAAACTTCCGTCATTAATTCGTGGGAAGTATAATAAGCTATTTTTAATTCAAGTATTAGAAAGGTTGGCTTCAAGGTGGTTCGTTTGTTGCTCGCACTTAAAGAGCAAGCTAAGTAAATGTCTGTTTGCAAACTTGCGAGGTATTGGTTCTTCCGCTGACCAGGAAACAGATATGACACAACCCGCGAGTGGGATGGTGGTTGGCAAGTTGCACGAACGAAACCAACTCGCGATCAATGGAGTAGAGAGCCATTGGCGTTGGCCAACCACGCTTACCTGGGGCAAATAAGAAGTAAGGAAGTGATTTGCATTGTTATGACTTTTGTTTTAGAGGAAAACAAACGAGTTCACGGCCTACGACCTTGACTTTTATCGGACTGCGCGCGGTTCGACGGTGGCTGAACGACTCAGCGAGTGGAAACGGTGGGACCAGTGGATACAAGACCAAACAACGCCAGCGACTCAAGCTGGTCATATTTGCATGTCCTCGGTGAACAGCTCCGAATGGCATTGGGGTATGGTGAACAAAGCGTAAGTTTGTTCCAGGCACTATGGAATTGGTGCAGACAACAGAGACCGAACGATGAGCGCTAGCCAATAAACTCAGGTACATGCTAAGCAACTATCAAAGAATGACATGTCGATTCATATCCGTGTTCCATATGACTCATTGTTCAATGATAACAAAATTTTGGATCGCGGATCAGTCTTCGTCTTGATTGTCAGAGGACTATCTTGACAGCGAGCATTCCAGAATCCAACATGGAATTCCTAACCTCGCTACGACGCACCACCCAAGGGTTTCAGTGGCTTAGTGCTCAAGACCTCAGGCGATAAACAGCACGTCTCGGGTTTCACTCCCAGCTCCTGCTATCTTTGGTTCAGAGTGGATGTGGGTATTACCCTGCTTCCCGAGCTGAATGATTATTTGGCGGACGTTTCGCTGCCAGACTAGGCTACATCATCTGTGCGACTTTAAAGTTCTGTTTCACACAGCCTCGCAAACGACTTCGAGATCTAAGGGCTTATTGATGGAGTTCCGCTTTGAATACCAGGCTTCAATAAAAGCACGTGCTTACCTGTTTGTGTCTCTTTCGAGAATTTTGGCGTGTTCTAGGTCAAACTGGTGGCGTAATATAACTCTTTTTGCGGCACCATATCCGGTTGTTATCTCTCCGGAACGACGTCCATCCGTTACTGAGGATTCAGCTGGCGTACCACTGTTGGATTTTTCTCATCGTTTTTAGAGCGGAACAATAGCTGAGGTGTTTTCCACCTGCAGCTAACGTGTATAATGACGATGATGCTACTGATGCGGCTGCTGCTGCTGCTACCGCTACCGCTGCTGCTGCCGCCGCTGCCGCTGCTGCTGCTGCTGCTGCTGCTGCTGATGATGATGATGATGATGATGATTATGATGATGATGATGATGATGTTGATGATGATGATAATGATGATGATGATGATGATGATGAGGAGGAGGAGGAGGAGGAGGAGGAGGAGGAGGAGGAGGAGGAGGAATACTGAATACTGTTTCGAAGCAGCGAGCAGAACTTCCTCTGCGTAGCTGCATCATTCGTCTCTTTTGGACATTTACGTCTTATTTATCGTTCCGCTCTCTATATTTTGCCTCTGCAAAGTGTTTGTCTAGGAGCTTCTTAAATTCGGACACTGAGTTCGCCTCTACTACCTGTGGCGGCAGGTCGTTCCAGATATTCACCACTCTGCGTTCGAAACAGATTTGGTAAGTGACCCGCTTCAAGTTCGGTACGATACGTTTGTACCCGTGTCCTCGCGTGCAGCTTGGTGTGCGCAGATGAAGCAGTTGTCTCAACATGGGGTAATCACTCAGACGTAATATCCGGTACGTCATGATGAGGTCAACACTCAGCCGACGATAAGCTAGGGTGTACAGCCCTAGTTTCTTACATCGGTCTTCGTATGGCATACCTCGTAAGTTGGGAATCAGCCTGGTGGCTACATGCTGCATCCGCTCAAGCTTTTCTACCTCTCCCAGCGTAATGGGACAATACGCGGGAGAGCCGTATTCCAGCATTGGTCGTATTATCGACACGAAGAGGCGAGTAGCAATCTCTTCGGACCAAGTGCTGAAGCTGCGCCTGAACGCCCAAAGCATTCGAAGGCTGTTTTGATACAGCCTATTCGTGTTGTCAATGGACTAGGTCGCAGCGTGAGAGCACACCGAGGTCGCGCACGAAAGACGCGGGATGCAGCGATTGACCAGCCACTGTGTACGTTCGGCTGTGCTCACACTTACCCAACCTCAAAAATTGCGACTTGGCAGGGTTGATCGAAAGGTTAACCTCTGCAGACCATGTCGAGAGGCTGTCGAGATCCTGCTGAAGTAAATCACAATCATTGAGTGTGCGGATTACTCTCCACACCTTCAAGTCATCTGCGAACAATGCACAAGGTGATTGGAGTAGATCAGGCACATCGTTTACATGGATCAGAAACAATATCGGCCCCAGTACAGTGCCTTGGGGCACGCCGCTGCTCGATAGATACCAGTTAGTTAGATGGTTGTCCACCTGGGCTCCACTTTCGATCAACAAGGAAATTTCTGATCGATTTGTGCAGAGAACCACCAACACCGTACATCCTCAGCCTGTCAAGGAGCACTGCATGGTTAACCTTGTCAAAAGCCTTACTGAAGTCAATGTAAATGACATCGACCGAATGGCCTTGGTTCATCGCTTGTAACCATTCGTGCCTCGTCAACATTAGGTTGGTGATGCACGAGCGACCTTTCATGAAACCATGCTGTGCGGAGGTCAACAGGTTTTTCGACTCGAGAAGCTGCAGAAGGCTCCTCTTCACGATCTTCTCGAGCGTCTTTGCCAAAACAGCGGTCAGGCAGATCGGCCGGTAGTTATCCACTTTACTTGGGTTACCACCTTTCGGTATTGACTTTACGACTGAGCATTTCCAGTCGTCCGGTAACAGTCCAGTGGATAGTGACCTGTTAAACAGTTCAGTTACAGAAGGCGCGATGATGGCCGATAGGGACTTGAGGATCAGTGGGTGTATACCATCTGGCCCAGCAGGCTTGGTCCCGTCAAGATTTGCTAGAAGCTTGCGTACATCCTCAATATTACAGTCCAGGCTGTTAAGTTCGGCTGGAGCGGTACTCGTCGAACTTGTTACAGATACCTGGTCACTTGCAAATACGGAGGCGAAGTGCGCCGCCCATGCGGACGCACGATCTGTACTCGAGGTTAGGGGCTGTCCATCGGAGCCTTCTAACACTGGGACATTGGCTACAGGCCTCAGGCGCCGCTTCACATATGCGAAGATCCTCTTGGGGGCAGTTTTGGCGGCGGTTGCAAGCTCCTCTTCGAAGCTTCTGCGTTTTCTTGTTTTCGCGTTGTTGCAGCGATTTCGCTGTACCTTGTACGCATTGTAGTCCTCATCAGAGCCAGATAACACGAACTTGTTCCATAGTCTGCGTCGTCGTCGGGCCAGTTTGTTGTACTCTTTATCGAACCAATGTGGTTTGACTGGCCCAACTTTTCGAAATTTGTGGGGTACAAATCGGGCGCACAGCGATTTCACTCCCTCTTTAATGATAGTCCAACAGGTTTCAATAGATGAATCCTGTGGTAAAGACCAGTCGACCTGGCTCGCTGCTCGAACGAGGCCATTAAAGTTCGCCTTCCAATAGTTGAAGGCTGGCCCCAGTGGGGGAGAATACGGCAGTGGTAGTTCCAAGCTGCCTATGATCATCGAGTGGTCGCTCGCTCCCAGAGGCTCTATGACTTGAATGTTATGCACACGCTGCTCACAGCTAGTTAAAAGTAGGTCTAAGCATGATGGAGTCGCGCGCGCAGTAATGCGTGTCGGTTGATTGATGTGCTGTGTGACCCCGGTTTCAAATAGCAACTCCGTAAACTTCCCCTCGGCTTCACAGTGGCCGGGGAGAAGTTCAGCTTCAGGCCACTGTATTCGAGGCAAGTTGCAATCACCCATGAGTAGAAACATCTGACAACTCATGTGGTTGCGGACATGCGGCAACCAGTCCAAACTGCGACTCAGTGGACTGCGATATACCACGCCCACGAGCAACTCGCAGCGTCTGAGGTGAATCGAACATCATAACTGCTCACATAGACCATCAGCGCTTTGGTAGGCGCTCACTAGTCTCCCACACAAGGAAGACTTTATGTAAAGTAGAACGCCACCGCGATCATTTGATGGTCTGTCACAGCGGAAGCATGAGTAGCCGGTGATTTCCACTTCTTGGACGGTTACCTCGGAGTTTAACCAAGTCTCAGCTAGGCCTAATACCTCTGGTCACTGAGAGCTTACAAAGCCGTACAGTACATCGCGCTTATTCATCAGACTGCATACGTTAGTAAAGGCTACGCGCAGATCGCGGTAGGAACCGTTGGGTGCACCTGAAGCATTAGAAACCTGTTGATCCGGAGTCGTGGAGGAATCCGGGCTACAAGGCATACAAGTTACAGCGAAATCGCTGCAACCACGCGAAAACAAGAAAATGCAGAAGCTTCGAGGAGGAGCTTGCAACTGCCGCAAAAACTGCCCCCAAGAGGATCTTCGCATATGTGAAGCGGCGCCTGAGGCCTGTAGCTAATGTCCCAGTGTTAGAAGGCTCCGATGGACAGCCCCTAATCTCGAGTACAGATCGTGCGTCCGCATTGGCGGTGCACTTCACCTCCGTATTTGCAAGTGACCAGGTGTCAGTAACGAGTTCGACGAGATGATGTTGATGAGGAGGAGGAGGATGATGATGATGATGATGATGGTGATGATGATGATGACGATGATGATGATGATGATGATGATGATGATGATG